GCGCGTTTGGGGCAGGCTGTCAGCACGAGCAGGACGTGGGCGGCGCAAGCTCGGAGGACGACCGACAAAAAAGAATTGCCGCCACAGGTCGTGCTCGCCATGGAGCCACGTATCCCACATCGGCGAATCAATGGCATACCTGCGGTCAAGGTTGTCAGAATCGTGATTCTGAATCGGGAGCTCCGATGGCGGGATCGCAAATCGTAGAATCTTCACTATCAGGATCGTAAAAGCGTAGATTCTATGAACCAAAATCGTAGAATCCGAGGGGTTAGTTTGGATCGTAAAGTCGTAGAATAGTACAACAGAATCGCGATTCTAACAACCTTGCCTGCGGTCGTAGAGCAGATCCGATGGCAGGCGGGCACGGCCGCTCACCGACACTGGTGGGGTTGGCACACGATCCGCGAAGAAATGCCAGTTGTTGGGGAGGTGGAAATTTCTCCACGAGAGTGGCGTCGCCGTCTCCGAGTAGCACCGACAGATGTCGGCGGAGACGTACGGCCTGTTGCGCTGCAGGGCCGCCAGCGACGTGATGCCAACGCGGGCGGTGCAGGCGGCGCGAACCTGGTGGAGCGGCGACGACCAGAGGAGGAGCCGGCCTAATGGTCGTGCTTCCCCTTGCTCATCCAATGCCAGACCATGGCGCCGGCGGGGAAGTGGGATGCGACGACGGCGGCTAGGGTTTGCTAGCTCGTGTCAGGGGTCGAGGAGGCATGCCGGGTAGGAAGTGTAAGCTATGGATTGGCCGGTCGACGACTTTCACATTAAGAAGGACCACGATCCACCTACTAGGGGCTGACAGCCAGGGCCCGCCGCGCGTGCGCATTCATTTTGAACGGTGGAGGTAGGTGGACGGCCGCCACGCGTTGATAACCCATAAGTATAGGGGATCACAACAGTTTTCGAGGGTAAAGTATTCAACCCAAATTTATTGATTCGACAGAAGGGGAGTCGAAGAATACTCTCAGTATTAGCAGCTGAGTTGTCAATTCAACCACATCTGGAAACTTAATATCTGCAGCAAAGTATTTAGTAGCAAAGTAATATGATAATAGTGATAACGGTAACAAAAGGTAACGGTAGTAAAATTAATGTTTTTGGTATTTTGTAGTGATGATAGCAATAGCAACGGGAAAGTAAATAAGCGAAGAACAATATGTGGAAAGCTCGTAGGCAATGGATCGGTGATGGAGAATTATGCCGGATGCGGTTCATCATGTAACATTCATAACCTAGGGTGACACAGAACTAGCTCCAGTTCGTCAATGTAATGTAGACATGTATTCCGAATATAGTCATACGTGCTTATGGAAAAGAACTTGCATGACATCTTTTGTCCTACCGTCCCATGGCAGCGGGGTCCTTACAGAAACTAAGGGATATTAAGGCCTCCTTTTAATAAAGAACCAGAACAAAGAATTAACACATAGTGAATACATAAACTCCTCAAACTACGGTCATCACCGGTAAGTATCCCGACTATTGTCACTTCGGGGTTAACGGATCATAACACATAATAGGTGACTATAGACTTGCAAGATAGGATCAAGAACACTCATATATTGATGAAAACATAATAGGTTTAGATCTGAAATCATGGCACTCGGGCCCTACTGACAAGCATTAAGCATAGCAAAGTCATAGCAACATCAATCTCAGAACATAGTGGACACTAGGGATCAAACTCTAACAAAACTAACTCGATTACATGATAGATCCCATCAAACCCATCACCGTCCAGCAAGCCTACGATGGAATTAATCACGCACGGCGGTGAGGATCATGAAATTGGTGATGGAGGATGGTTGACGATGACGATGGCGACGGATTCCCCTCTCCGGAGCCCCGAACGGACTCTAGATCAACCCTCCCGAGAGGTTTTAGGGCTTGGCGGCGGCTCCGTATCGTAAAACGCGATGATTTCTTCTCTTTGATTTTTCTCTCCCCAAAACTCAATATATGGAGTTGGAGTCGGAGTTGGAGAGGTAACAGGGGGCCCACGAGGTAGGGGGCGCGCCCTAGGGGGGCAGGCGCGCCCCCACCCTCATGAGCAGGTGGTGGGCCCCCTGGCCTTCATCTTTTGCAGGTATTTTTTCTTATTTTCTGAAAAGTGTCTCCGTGAAGTTTCAGGTCATTCCGAGAACGTTTGCTCCTACACATAAATAACACCATGGTAATTCTGCTGAAAACAGCGTCAGTCCAGGTTAGTTCCATTCAAATCATACAAGTTAGAGTCCAAAATAAGGGCAAAAGTGTTTGGGAAAGTAGATACGTTGGAGACGTATCACACGTCCCTGAGGCGGATGAGGAGCAAGCGCGTGCCCATCCGTTCGGCGCCCGTGTGGATGCAAACCAGACGCATGTTTTTGCCAGAAATGAGACGGGCCAGACTCCGAACAAGCAAAAATGCGGATGCGGCCGCATGTTGGGCCATGTCGTCTGTCCATTTAAGCCCAAACGGATAGACCCATATTTTATGGGGTCGTTCATTGGAGTTGCCCTTAAGCTTTCCCTCAAAAATTGATAGGGTCTTGCATGTAGCATTTTTTTAGGGTCTTGCATGTAGCATTTTTTTAGGGTTTTGCATATAGCATTTGGGTGTGCAATGAACACATATATTGTTTTTCAGTTTTTGCTGACTCAAAAAGAAACATTTTTGAACCGCAGGAGCATATGCTCCAGGAGCCGAATTGGATTTCCGGTGCCGTCTGTCTCCCAGTACTCACCGCGTATGTCTTTTTTTTTTTGCCAAAATTCCCAATTGCGCGTATTCATGCTCCACCAGAATCTTCTGTATTATCTCAGCTCGATCGGGGCGTGCTAGATGTGCAATAACGTCGGTATTGCCATGCGGATCGGATCGGATTGGATAGGATGAGTGGGCACAAGCCAGAGAAAGTAGTAATGCATACACCACCATAGATCATACAACCAACAAATCATCGATGGCAAGAAAGTTATACAACAACGCTCCTTTTCAAAAGCCGCATTTTCTTCTACAAATACAACTATAGCCCCCCTCCATCCAAACTCCCAGGTAAAAAACGAGCGAGCAGAAACCGCTGCGTGAAAGGCGAAACATGCCTGTCAAACGGAACCATCGCCCGAACCCGAACCCACCCCAGTTCACCAAACTTCAACCCCGAAAGACCAGCAAGGTTCAGCATGAAAGTTCGACCTCTTGTATTGCCGTGTTAAAATGCAGCCGTGACACATGTGCCTGGGCAGGTTTGGGCCTTGGACTTTTTCCGCGGCTTGAAAGGCAAACGACCACTCATCAGTCATCACCAACCCCGGCGCACGAAAGCAAGCCCGACCAGACCAATGCGTGGAGCAGCATTCCGGCTGCCCGAGCACAAGCAGTCGCCGATAATGGATGCGGTAGGTAAACGATGGCACAGTCAACGAACCCCAGCCGCTCTCTCTCACCCACCAACCCTGCCCAAGCCCGCTGCCATCCCGGCCCCACGCGTCATCCTCCGCCGACCCCACCCACCAACTCCCCAACTCACCCCCGTATATTAAACCCGCCATCTTCCCTTCCTCCGTTCTTCTTCAGGAGATCAAGCGAGCGCGCGCCCGCACACGCACACAACGCAGCCATCTCCTCCTACGCCAACTAATTTAACCAGCTTCGTAGGTTTATCATCTTCCGTTTGCCGGTCGATCGCCGTCGAGGTAGCACGACGATCGTTGAAATGGGGTCCGTGCCGGAGGAGTCGGTCGCGGCGGAGGTGGTGTTCCGGTCGAGGCTGCCGGACATCGAGATCCCCAACGAGCAGACGCTGCAGAGCTACTGCTTCGCCAAGATGGCCGAGGTGGGGTCCCGCCCCTGCATCATCGACGGCCAGACGGGCGCCTCCTACACCTACGCCGAGGTGGAGTCGCTCTCCCGGAAGGCGGCGGCGGGGCTCCGGCGGATGGGCGTCGGCAAGGGCGACGTGGTCATGAACCTGCTCCGCAACTGCCCCGAGTTCGCCTTCTCCTTCCTCGGCGCCGCGCGCCTGGGCGCCGCCACCACCACCGCCAACCCCTTCTACACCCCGCACGAGATCCACCGGCAGGCGGACGCGGCCGGCGCCATGCTGATCGTCACCGAGGCCTGCGCCGTGGACAAGGTGCTGGAGTACGCGGCCGGCAAGGGCCTGCCCGTGGTCACCGTCGACGGGGCGCGCGACGGGTGCGTGGACTTCGCCGAGCTGATCGCCGGCGAGGAGCTGCCGCGGGACGAGGAGGCCGGGATCCACCCCGACGACGTCGTCGCGCTGCCCTACTCCTCCGGCACCACCGGGCTGCCCAAGGGCGTCATGCTCACGCACCGCAGCCTCATCACCAGCGTCGCCCAGCAGGTACGCACGCACGCACGCATGCCATTCCTCTGCTCCGAGCTCTGCCTCCGTTCCGATCATTCGCCATGTCCTCCGGGTCAACGGAGCTCTCGGCCTGCGACAATTCCGCTCCTGTCGGCGCCGAGCCAGCGTAGCTGCTGCTGAGCTGCTCCTCACTCGCGGCAGAGCACGACAGGTGGGCCCGCGTTGTATACGCGTATACCCCTCGGATCCACATGTCGGTGCCACTAAGGATACTATTTCCCTCCGCGTGGTCAGAGCTCTGGGTGCCAATCAAGCTGGCCGGCCGGCTCATAAATCCGGGCGTTTAAATTATTTTATTAATTGTACAGTAACTATTATTGGCATCTCGTGCTGTATGCTTTATTCAGGCTCGTAATAGTATAAAATCCGCCCACTGGTAGTAATATTATACGGTTCCCTGCACGCGGGGCCCACTGGGCCAGGTGCATGCCTGACCCACGCGCCAAGATTCGTGCTGACACGATGCGTTTGGCGCCAAAGTCAGAGGTTTCGAACTAGTAGAACTTTTTTTTTCTTGTTCTGATGATGAAATGGTGGTGGTGGTTTTCAGGTGGACGGAGAGAACCCGAACCTGTACTTCAGCAAGGAGGACGTGCTGCTGTGCCTGCTGCCGCTGTTCCACATCTACTCGCTCAACTCGGTGCTGCTGGCGGGGCTGCGGGCCGGGTCGGCGATGGTGATCATGCGCAAGTTCGACATCGGCGCGCTGGTGGAGCTGGTGCGCGCGCACGGCATCACCATCGCGCCCTTCGTGCCGCCCATCGTGGTGGAGATCGCCAAGAGCCCCCAGGTGACCGCCGGCGATCTCGCCTCCATCCGCATGGTCATGTCCGGCGCCGCGCCCATGGGCAAGGACCTCCAGGACGCCTTCATGGCTAAGATCCCCAACGCCGTGCTCGGCCAGGTCGGTCCAGTCGCTTGATGATCATGTTGCTTCTGTCTGTCTGCCCGTCGATGGCAATGAATGCCGGTGGCTGACACGGGCGGGTGCGTTTGGTTTCAGGGGTACGGGATGACGGAGGCCGGGCCGGTGCTGGCCATGTGCCTGGCGTTCGCCAAGGAGCCGTTCAAGGTCAAGTCCGGGTCGTGCGGCACGGTGGTGCGCAACGCGGGGCTCAAGATCGTCGACCCCGACACCGGCGCCTCCCTCGGCCGCAACCAGCCCGGCGAGATCTGCATCCGCGGCGAGCAGATCATGAAAGGTACCACCAACTCTACGTACTTTCTTGGCTTGGCGTTGTGAACCACCCCACACTTGGCGGCCGGGCGTGCGTGCGTTCGGGTTGGCATGTCCGCCTTTTGGTTTGCGTGTTTGGCGCGTTGGCGGCAGCTACCGGCGATGTGGACAACAAACTTGCTACTCCCGCTACAGCACATAGGTTGCAACTACTACTACCAATCTTGGTTGGTCCATGCCGACCGGCCGATCGATCGATTCGGCCGAACGACCACCACCAAAACCTTTTGTTTCCCCCAACCCGGATGGGGACTTGGACGAGCAACCCAACCAAGGCCGCGCCTGGTTCTCACCTGAGAGCCGAAACAGCTGACACAGCAGTAGTTCTAATAAGTTTGAAGAAAAATATACGTTTGCCCGTTCTGTGTGAAGTGTCCTCATCACAACTTCAAACCCTTTCACCACACACAAAAAATGACAAACATAAAAGAAGTTGATCTGATCCGTACCCCTACTAGTTGGGCACTTTAAGGTGGTGGAGACTTCGCGGAAGTTGCTGTCCATTGGCTTGGTCCGAGGTCTATTCTGAATTCCCAATGACTGTTGCAGCGAGGATTTCCCGTCAGTTCCACTCCACGTTTTTTTTGAGGTTCCACTCCACGTTCTTGGGTTAGCAGCCGCAGGCGCAGGCGCGTGGTGGTTGGCACGGCATGCTCAACTGCTGCAACCTTGGCAGACCAGTAGTAATACTATATCGTTAGCCAACGAATGAATGAATAAAACAGCGACGCACGTTGCTAACGACCTGCAAATCATACATTCCCTCCATGTTGTCTTCGCACAGCGCACCGTCGCCCTCCATGGCGCGATCAATTCCAGAATCCAAGTTGCACATGGCCAAAGATGCGACCCCCACACACCCGGATAAAAAATAAAACAAAAATAGAGATGCAACGTACCCCACACATGGGCAAGTTGGTAGGAGTACTACTAGGCAAAGCCAAAATTTGGTGGAGGAACAAGAGGAAGGATGCTGTTAGGTACCGGCAGGCTGTGCGCCTAGGACAGGGACATCAACCGCTGAGGCTGCACAAGCATCTTGGAAGAACCCATCACTAGTAGTATTACTTTATCAAGTTGACAAAAATACATAGTGCTGTACTGTACTAGTATATCCCTGAACTCAGGATTCAATACACTGCCATGACCATGACACTGGCATAGAAATGAAGTACCTTGAGATGTTGCCAGTCTACCAGGATTTTGTTAGGTCTGCGCAGCTGAACGACCCATCGGTTGGTACTTGGCGTGCAAAAGTGGAGATCACGTCAGATCCTCATGATCAGGAGACTGACCAACTCATGCCGTGATTCCCGCCAAAAAAAAGTGATTCATCTACAACTATCTGTTAAGTTCAACCACTAATGAACCAAACCAAAGGGGAAAAAAGCTATAGCCGTGCTCACAATGATTAGCATGGACGCCCAAAAGGTGCCTAGAGTAACAAAGGTAACCTAAGTTTAGCATTGATACATCTCATTGGAACAAAGGAATAAGCCACGATTACATTGGTGTTGTTAGGTGCCGCTAGTGAGTGTTTGGTGGCCCATCATGTGACCAAGAAAAGCCCCGGTTGGGTGACCAACTCCAGCTTGTAGGAGAACTAACCTGGTATCACTGGCCAATTCCAGCAGACATTTTCCATGAAAGAGCCATGTCTGATAGTTGCACATGAATCACTTCCGAGAACCTTTTCTCTACTGAACCCATGTGAGGTCTCGTTTTCAGACAGATTGTATCCATGCTGCAGCAAGCAGCATCAAACGGGAACTGCCATGTGCTTCACGAGGTTCACTAGCTGAAGCCATCGCGTGAATGCGCCTTTTGAATGTTTGAGTGCGCTTGAATGATGGCAGCAGAGATGAACACCACCTGAGATGTGCAGCGGCACCATTGCCATCATGGTGTGTGCGCCTCTGCAGATGCAGTTTGGGCCGGTCAGCCAACGTTGCTGCTTTCATGTGCAAACTGCAGTTGCGTTATGGTGGCTTCTGTGACGCTGTCCTGCCTTTCCGGACGGAATCTTGTAGTCCTTCCTAACAATATGGAACGATTACCTTTGCTTGCACAACCACTTCTTGAAAATTCTTGATACGCACTGTATTTTAATTTTTAGAAAGTATTCTTCAAATTCTCTGAACTAACATGCGCCCGGCGTGGAATTCTGCAGGTTACCTTAACGACCCAGAGTCCACCAAGAACACCATCGACAAGGATGGATGGCTGCACACCGGAGACATCGGCCTCGTCGACGACGACGACGAGATCTTCATCGTCGACAGGCTCAAGGAGATCATCAAGTACAAGGGCTTCCAGGTGGCGCCGGCGGAGCTCGAGGCCCTCCTCATCACGCACCCGGAGATCAAGGACGCCGCCGTCGTATCGTAAGTCATAGCTTTCTCTTCCTTTTCATTTTCAGTTGCACAGTTCGTTGCCGCAACTGTACTTTAAAACAAAATTCTCCTGCTGTCTGTTTTCTTTAACAAGAAGGCTCACTTTCCCCATGATTATGTTCTTTCAGACTGAAGGACGATCTTGCTGGCGAAGTCCCGGTCGCCTTCGTGATGCGGATCGAAGGCTCCGAAATCACCGAGGATGACATCAAGAAATTCGTCGCAAAGGAGGTAAATAGTGCCATCTTTCCCAAGTTTCCATGTAGTCAAAGTGTCAAACACATTGTACCGAAACTTCAGAACAAGTCAACTAGAACTATATGATATACATATCAGTTACTAATCATCATGTTCAGCTTAGTCAAATATTTGGATTTGCCCATGAACAACTGCTACTTAGGAACCAGATTTTTTGTGGATGGAGAATTAGAACTCGTGACTAAGATGCATTACACGCTGCAACAGGTTGTTTTCTACAAGAGGATCCACAAGGTGTTCTTCACCGACTCCATCCCCAAGAACCCTTCCGGCAAGATCCTGAGGAAGGATTTGAGAGCCAGGCTCGCCGCCGGCATCCCCAGCTAGGGGCTGCGGCCGTCGTCCGCTTCTCAGGCACTCAGCCAGCCAGCAGGGTGCTGTTATAGATCATGTAATATTGTTTGATCTCCATGAAATGGTCGGAGGAGGTTGAGTTTGTTGGTTCTTCCTGCTTGTGTAATGTTGATAAAAATGAAATGATATATGTAGATGCGTTGTTGTTGACCACAAGAACAAGGCTGGCTTCCAAAGGGTACAATGTATACTTCTTTTCCATCAGAGAATATCTTGTCCGAATCATATCATCCATTTTTTCTTTCATTATGTTTCGTCTCCTATACATGAATTCGGTACGAATCCGACATGAGTTGAAACATTTTTTTTCTTGAGATTCATGCTTCATGAGAATGTAGGTTTGCTACAGTGGAGCACGCGTGCCAAAGGAATAATTTTCCTTATATAACAGAAAAAAATAGAAAGGAAAACGAATAGCTGAGTGACTATGTCTAAGACGTTTTAAAAATAGTTATTTGTTAGTTAACTACTCACCTATATACCTATAATACCACTGTTAGGAAATATGCAACTTATATTTCCAGGAGGCCATAGGCCAATATATATACATGTACAGGTGTGGAATATATGCAGGAAACCCCTTATACAATAGGGTAAATATGAAAGGTTACATGGCTATATATATATACTCTAACACCCCCCTCAAACTCATGGTGAATTAACAACACTGAGTTTGGAGAGATAGAAGCCATGCTGCGCTCTAGTCTGGGCCTTCGTCAGAAAATCCGCCAACTGTAACTCGGAAGGCACATACTGAAGAGCAATAACCTGATCCTGCACACCAGCGCGCACATGGAAAGCATCAACACCAATATGCTTGGTGAGCTCATGCTTCACAGGATCGCGCGCAATGCTAATAGCACCTGTACTGTCAGACAAGAGCAGAGTAGGTGTAGTAACAGAAACACCAAAATCCTGAAGTAACCACCGTAACCAAGTCACCTCTCCTGTCAAAAGAGTCATAGCTCGTAACTCAGCCTCTGCACTCGAACGGGAAACTGCAGTCTATTTCTTCGTCTTCCAGACAATGAGAGAACCACCAAGAAAAACACAGTAAGCAGAAAGTGAACGGCGATCAGAGGGATCACTAGCCCACGTGAATCCGAATAGGCCTGAAGCTGTAGAGAACTGGAGCGAGGAAAGAATAGACGGTGAGAGATCGTGCCCCGAAGATATCGGAGAACACGAAGGAGGTGACTATAGTGAACCGAAGTGGGAGTGGAGACAAACTGACTTAGAATATGAACCGGATGAGAGATATCCGGACGAGTGACAGCTAGATAGACAAGAGTCTCAACAAGATGACGATAACATGTCGGGTCAGGCAAGGGGTCACCATCAGTATAACGGAGGTGAACATTGAGCTCCATGGGAGTCTCAACAATGCACTCATCGATAAGAGCAGTACGAGCAAGAAGATCCTGTATATACTTTTCATGGGATATAAAAAAGCCATCAGAGATAGAAGAGACTTCAATCCCAAGAAAGTAGCGAAGAGGTCCAAGATCGAACATAAGAAACTACTCACTAAGACGGGCCTTTACAAAGGCAATATACTCGGGATCGTCACCAGTGATGACCATGTCATCAACATAGAGAAGAAGAAGAGTTCGACCACGAGAAGAAAGGTG